AGACTTGAGCAAACAGTGCTGACTTTCACTAAGCTGGCATCTTATAGTTCTTTTTTTCTTTTACATTGACCACCTTTTAATTTCCCTGTTTTTCATGATTGTTAGTGAATGGCCAAGTACACAGGAGGTACAGTAGCCTTGGAGATGAGACTATTTCTAAATAAATGTACCAGATCTCCTATCCAGACTTATTTTTACTGTCTAGAAGATAACTAGTAAGGATATTTTAGTGTAATGTGCTTATATTTAACTATTTTTATCAGACTACCTTTTGTAACATAAAAATATTGAGTATCTCATATGAAGAGCCATCTTAATGGAATCCCTTTGCTAATGCTGGCTTAGATGGCGTACAGCTGGTGTAATCAATCCACAATTTAGTATAGTGTTTTCCTACGGGGATTTCCAAACTTTATGACACTTTAACACCATGTGAAATTCCCTGAGAATTTGCAAAACCTCCCCAAGAATAAACATAAGAAGGGGTCCTGACAGGAGTTCTACTCCAATAATGATCCAGCCACTCACCATACCGGTAGTTCCTGAAATCCTCCAATTTACTTCAAACAGGCTTGCATACTATTGTCAGAACTCAGCCCTGGATTTGGGCTGTACAGTATTTCAACAATTTCTGCACTCGCCACAGTTCCTGAAATCATCCCATTTACTTCAAAATGCTATCCAAGTTGATCCAGGTAGGACTGGAACATTTTTCTTCCCTAACCTCAGTCTATCTTCTTCCAAAATGGTTCTTCGCCTGGGAGCATTATCCTGTCTTAGTGGCTGTTCCAGGCAATTTAAGCAGTAGGCTTCTTGGATGGGAGGGGTTAGGTTAAGGTCTCGATCCTGGCCAAGTCCCCTTGCACAGCATTCAAAATTAGGAGTATTGCAAGAGCTCAAAGGTTATCAAAGGAGAACTTTGGCATTTGGATTCTGTGGGCAGCCTGGTCCAGCACCCAATAAATATTTGCCAAATCCAGATCCAAAGGGAGCAAGTTTTATTCACAATCTCATGGGTGTCATAACCCAGTTTTAGAATGAAATGAATGTCTTTTTTACTGAATGTCTTTCCTTTCCTAAAAAAAAAAAATTAGACTTAAGTTTTTATTTTCCCTGATTTTTCATACTAGGTATATGGTCCTTGTGTTTTGAAATTTATATAGAGGTAGTAAATACCTACTACTGAAGTTGGGCAAGAAAAAATCATGACAAAAATACACTATTTGCAGTAGCAGACTTAAGAGCAGAAAAATTATCTGGAGTTAATTTAGCACAGCAGTTCCCAACCTTTTCTATATCCCATACCCCTAGAATGCTTCTGATATATTCTCGCACCCCTTACAAAAGTTCGAAATAACGGCAACAAATTATGCATATACACTATAATTTTGAAAACCCAAGTTTTGCACCCCCTGAAATATTGTCTCGCACCCCCGGTTGGGAACCCGATTTAGCAGAAAATTTGTGATCTATATTCATCGATTCAAAACTTTTTATGGAGGTGAATCTAGTGCATTAGTTTAGGGTATCCTTTCGTGCATCGGGTGTATAATTTATAGAATTTAATTTTCCTTTTGAAACAGGAAGTATATTTTATTTTGAGCAACATATTTGGATTGTGATAAGCATTAATTTAATAAAAACTGAATTACATCACAGAAAGTCTTTTTCTATGGTAGAATGCTGCTTGAATTTTTTTTTAGTAAAAAATGAGTATTGACCAATTATTTTTAAAAAAATCTATGCTATTTGAAAAAATATTTCTAAAGATGCTCTCTGAAGGTTGAATCTTACACATTGTTCAAAATTCCCCTCTTCCCCCAAATTGGGGTAACATCTGCCTTCTGCTGTATAAATATTTCTCAATATCCTTTCAAGATTCAATAAAACGTTAATATTTACTATTTTTATTAGAACAGAAAAATTACTGTAGTTTGGTTGTATAAGGGTTTAAATGGTTGGTTCAGCTTTCTCATTTCCTTTACTAAATCGTTTTTACAGTTATATTTCCTCTGGGAAACTGATCTATCTCCTTTTTCACATATGGTAAAACTCATGTCACCATGAACAGAGGGCACCGGACAGCAAACAAATCTCTTATCATGAAGTGTGGCAACCTGATCATAAAACTTTGATGTTCTGCCTATTAAAATGGCATCTTGCTGAAATTATAATAGTGTACATATTTTATCTCCAACTTTAAAAAAACAATGGAAATATGCTCTGGGGTGGTTATAAAACTAAAATCTAAATCTGCAAAGGTATATTTTTCCCCCAGTAACACAACTGCGATAGAAACATTCTCAGGAATATAGAAATGAGAACAAATGTAGTAGTTTTGAAAGATGACATTATTCCATTTCATGTAGGGACAAGAAAGGAGGAAGATTCATATGGCTGAGAAGCCTGTTTCTGTATTGGAAAAGCGAAATAAAAGGAGAAAACGGAGAGCAATGTCTGAGACACCATCTGCACTGCTCATTATGGAACCTTTATTGTCTAAGGTACATTAGACTGCAACACTGTAGAAAACCTGTTAAGGAAAAGAAACAGATTGACAGAGGTAGCAGAGTCGCTGTAACAGTCAGAAGATGGCTTACAAAAATGTGTCATGCTACAAAATTATCATGTTTCCTTTTTCCCCCCAAAAAAAGGCTACTTTAAACCCAAATAACTAAATAAATAAGAGCACAAATCATACTAAACACTAGGATCTAACTGAATTAACAAATTGATACAATATGGATGAGAAAGGAGGAAATTACAAAGCTTGGAATTCACACGTAATATGGTGGTCTTTAATGACAGCTCCCCTTCTCCCTCCCCATTTCTTGTTTAATTAAGTGAAAATCTCATTTCTGTGCTATACACAGCATATAATTATTTAAACTGATTTCCCCTGCTGTTGTTCTTCGTGAAGCTAAATGATGATTGTAAACTTTGCTGATTAGTACCCTAGTAATGGCAATGACAGCCCTTTCTCTTTGTGTGTCAGACAATCTTCAGGAAAAGCTCTGAAACTCTAAATAATAACTAAGATCCTTCTAGATCAGCTCGCAAAGACATTAAAAAAAAAGAATTAATGAAATCAAAGACACCACTCACCAAACATGATTTAAAAATAAAACACACACACAAATCTAGCAACAAAAATTGTGATAGTTTTATGGGGCACTCAAATAATTGGGGGGGGGGAGGATAAGCAGAAATTTGGACATTCCTGAATCCTGACCTGTTTACTTAAAATAAGGAAAATAAGTGCTTGAAGGAGGAAAATGTAGCACTTGATTATGGATCCCTAATTGACCAGTTAGGGATAGTTTGGTGTTATCTGATTCATAAAAGGAGATGATTTGAAGGAAATGAGGATGAAGTGGGATGCAGGAGATGAAAAAAGGGAGGTCTGGAATATGTCTGTGTGAAATTCTGCAAGGTAACTTTAAAACAAATTAATTAGTTACACAACATCTGCACAGACATTTTATACTAATCCAGGGTTACAGCTGACTTACAGCTGGTTCATAAGTATGAGGAATAAAATAAAATAAAAATTCCAAACTGGCAAATTATATATGAATATTACAACTGCATTATAGTTAACAGCAAGGCAAGAACAGTCAAGTAACTTGCAACAAGTAGAATCCCAATTCAAATATAGACAACACAAAATCAGAACAGAAAAAAAATACATATTAAAAAAATCTTTGAGTAACCCCATCTTCTAGAAAAAAAAGCACTATCCCATTATTGTAGAAGTAAACGGTTGCTCTCCATCAGTATTAAAAGATTAGTGCTATTTCTGTACATGTAAAATTATTGCTTTTTTGAAAAATATAATTAGCGTGCTAGTTTTCTTTAAAAATCCATTTCCTGCCTTTACAAAAATGTTACAATTAAAAAAAAACCAGTAAAGCTTTTTTTTTTTTTTTTTGCAAAAGAAAAACATTCACAAATATTTTCAAGGCATTTTTTTTTCTTGATGATGATGATGATGATGCATAAAATTGTATGTGCAAAATCTGAAACTCTGAATTATTACCATCACACAGTGTCATAGCAAGAGAAGAAAAAAGTACATGTGGAATAGATTTTTGAACAAGACAGACACTGTGTGAACAACCTGTCACTTCTTCCCTCTTACCTTTAAAAACTTGCATTTTAAAAAGTTACTGTAGAAGAGGTATATAAAGCGCCTTTTCTCTCCCAGTTACTCCAGTCATTACCGTGCCACATCATCTTGTGCCACCAAACTTGCTGAATTTGCACTTCCCAGAACTCCAAGCCACCATGGCCAACAGCCATGCTTGCTAGGGCATTCTGGGAAATTCCAGCACATCTAAAAAACACTAGATTAGGGAAGCTTGCCATCACAAAAGAAGTGATTTTTTCCCCCTCTCCAAAACTTTAGAAAGATCCATGAAAGGTACTTGTCTTGCTGCACAGAAATGCAGTCATCTCCAGTATCATAAAACCAGAGATCTGCCTAAACATCTGCTTTTAAAAATGTATTATAAGCATTTAAAACAGCAACTTTAAAAAGCTGTTTTTTTTTCTTTTTAATTTAATTTTTAAAAGCATACATACTTCCTTTGTGACAAATCATGGAAAACTGCATTTTAAAAGAAAGAAAAAGCAAATTAAACAAACAGGAAAGCCCTGAGACCAGGGGTGGGGGGTGGGGAGTGGGGGAGGAAAAACACAGAAGCTTTTTTTCCCTTTTTCTTCTTAGTGTTTGACCAGCTGTTTTTTGTTTTTTTTTGTCTTGCCAAAGTGAGAAGAGAAGCATTTCTTAAGAAGTGTTTTCAATTTCCATATTCACATACTATTAATGGTGTGCAGTCAAGGATCAGCCCACTGGAAATGGAAGTGGTCCCCAAACTATCATGAAACAACCTCACTGCAGAATGATAGTCTCTCCCTTTTGTCCCTTCTGTCCTTCATCAAGTTTGGCTTTCATAGCACTGAATGACTCCTTCCTTCCTTCTTTTTTTTAAGTTGTATTTCCGGGCGTGACAGTTGCTTAATCACTCCTTCCCACATTCCCAAATCCACCCTGCGTGTGTGTTTTCTTTAAATAAAAATAAAACTTCAAGCCACCACGAGGGAAGATTCTGTTGCAGTGCCATCCTCCAAATATATGACGTTTAATTTTTCCAGTGTCTAAAAATGTTATCTTGATTAATATATATGCTTTGCACTACCCCAAAGCTTGCCAGCTCTTCTGTTTATTATAAAGGAAATAAGGAACTGTGGGGACTGATTACTATGTCAATTTGTATATATCTTGGGTAGGTTCTTCATTTATTTTAAAATGATTAACAGTTCAGAGACATCACTCTTCTAGCAAAGCACAAAGCTTGAGTCTCACTATAACACAGTGGCTCCAGGGACTGGAGAGATTGTAAAGATGTTTTCCAGCTGGCCTTCTAAGGGGTTGATGGAATAATTATTTGGAGGTGATGGGAACCGTAGGTCAGGGTACTGGCTGTTGTCAAAGGGGACCCGGTGTACACACTGGACATGAGTTTTTAGGTTCCCTTTCTGAGAGGCACTGTACGGACAATATCTGCACTGGAATGGTCTCTCACCTAAATGGGAAAAAAAAGAAGCAAAACACATTGTTATTCTTGTTTCCCATAATAGCCACTGCTGCCTTGCTCTGTACACTACAGCAGTTGAGCAATTTAATAATTAATAAATAGCTCTAGCTACCTTTTTTATGACCATTACAAATTATTACTGTGACCTAATCCATTAAAATGAATTATTTTTAATCACCTCTGATGAAAGCATACCCCATCAAGCTCCTATAAACTCTATGCTGCATTAGAATAGCAAATAATAGAGACTGAAGGAGTACTTGAGGAAAGGTTAACAATGGCCAGAAGAAGGATAAAAGACTAGAAAGAAGAGCAGAGAGCCAAGTTTTATAGTATCTGAGGGGATTTATGATTGAATGATATGATGTTTCCTAAATTAATTTGGTATGGATTAAAGTTCATGGATGCTCCGTGATGACTCATACGAATAACGGCAACTGGCTGGTTTCATTGCCCAAAATCACAAAGATAGAAAGAAACCGACACAGAGCCTAAAAAGGAACAAACTTCTGTTTGCATTAAATCACCCAAGTGGCAAATTCCAGGTAAATTTGAGTTGTCATAATACAGGTAGTCCTCAAATTATGACCACAATTGAGCTCAAAATGTCTGTTGTTTAGCGAGACAGATGTTAAGTGGGTTTTATTCCATTTTGTGACTTTTCTTGCCACAACTGTTAGGTGAATCACTGCAATTATTAAGTTAATAACACGGTTGTTAAGTGCATCTGGCTTCCCCATTGGCTTTGCTTGTCAGAAGGTCACAATAGGTACTCACGTGACACCCAGACATAGCATCTGTCAGAAATATGAGTCAATGGACAAGTGTCTGAATTTTGATCACATGACCATGGAGACGTTGCAATGGTTGTAAGTGTGAAAAAACGGCCGTAAGTCACTTTTTTCAGTGCTGTTGTAACTTTGATTAGTCACCTAATGAATTGTTAAGCCTAGGACTACCTGCATACAACTGGCTATGACTCTAGGAGGGCATCAAATAGGACAAGTCTGGAGTAAAGTTCCTTTTTTGTACTGGGACATACCTGGACAACCATGTCTTTTGGCTTAAATAAATACTATTACAAAAGAGGAATATCTCGGTAATTTTTAATAACCCAAAATGTGAGCAGTCAATTTAATGACATGTTGTGTTTATTTTATGAACAGAAGTAAGCCTCTATCTGTAGAAAAAGTTCTGTGGTTGCTGAAATACACTTCAGAGATGCTGTTCTCTGCACCATTTCCTTAAAAACCTCACTAAGCTTGACAGCTGCTATAAGCCAAGACAAAATGGGACAACTCGCTGCAGTCAACTCACCATGGTCAACTCGCCATGGGACAACTTGCCATGGCCAACTTGCCATAGGACAACTCGCTGCGGGACAATTCAACAATTCAATTTAATTATTTAAAATAATTTTAAAAATATTTTAATTTTTGTCATTCACATTTCATTTTGTCTCTCCTTTGGCATTCTTTCTTTAATGATTCTACTCCATTCTATTTTTTCAGTATTAGTGTACTCTTGTTCTGCAGCAAGTTGCTTGCTGTGATTTGGCCATGTCAAGTTGGCCCGCAATGAGTTGGCTGTGGCGAGTTGTCGTAGACCCAAGCCAAGAAGCCTGGGCAGGGAAGGTGTTAAAGTTGAAATGGGTACCTTAAGCCTATTCCCCAAACTAAAATAAACAAAGAAACAAACGGACAACATTTTTGTCCCATCTCTGGCAGATTTACAAGTGGAATTTTGCATCTTCATATTGCAATTCTTCATGGATTCAGAGATTTTAAATCTCTGACCATCTTCTATTACTACATCAGAAAATATATTCTATTGGCTACCTTGCTTCAGGCAACGTGCCAACAATTGATCAGTTTTTTCACTTAATTCCCAATAATTTAATTTCAAATTCCTCAAAGAAAGTTCAACTTGTTTAGCATATCTATATCTTAGCTAACATAAAAGCATAATTCTGTTCGGTAGGAATTTTGTATGGATCAAAAAAAAAACACCTTTTTTCAAACATGTTTATCCATCTGCTGATAGCAATGACTTCTAAATTTCCTTCTATTTAGCCCCTTGTAGTAACCTTATATACATCCCAAATTGTTCAAAGACTAGCTCGATTATAACTTTAAAAAATGTAGTTTGTTGTCTAACGTGAGAAAATCACCACATAACAAAGATGTGCTAAAATACCACCTATTGTTAACTAACAATGTTTCTAAATTGAAGAATGAATGTAACTGAAGTGTGATATCTTCTTCAATATTGTGAAAAACTAGCTGTCACTCCCAAAAAGGTAAAAGAGAACACAGATCTATATAAATGTAAATATGCTAATATACCAGCTACCGACTGTCCCAGTTTCTTTACCTTTAAACTCAAACTTAGAGTGGGCAACCCAAAGAATGAAAGAGGGCATTTTAAATAGAAGATTTTGTTCAATTAAATAAGGCATATTATCATCTATAACAGAGGTGGGCAATTATGGCCCCTTTATGACCCACAGACTTCAACTCCCAGAATTGCTGAGCCAGCATGGCTGCTTCAAGAATTCTGGGAGTTGAAGTCCATAAGTCATAAAGGGGCCATAGTTGCCCACCCCTGATGTCTATTTTTCATTGGTAAAAAAAATTGGCATGGTGTAACTATATCATATTATTATAAATAACAGGCGTGGGCAATAGAGAAAACAAATTCACACTGATAATAAAATTCAACGCTTATGTTAGACAGCCACATAAAACTCAGTTTTCATAAAGGCATAAAAAAAATCCCTCCAATTTTGACCAATGTGTATCAAATAAAAATTAACTATGTGTTAAAACACACAAACAAACCGAAAGGGCTATTTGAAAGCCAATGTTTCTCAACATAAAATTGTGAACAAACACAAGTTTGCAGTTCAAGGCAATGGAATCCTGAGAATGTCTGGACAATGTGACTTTCAGTGCTAATGATTAAAGCAGCATGGCAAAATACAGCTTACACTCGTGCACTAACCTTAAACCAAAACCCTGGTGAAGGGAATCAGACTATTTTAAATTAACACAACATCGGACCCAACCACCGTGTGAAAATATTCCCAGTAAATTTCAAGCTGTGCCTATGGAGCTCCTGGAAAAGCTAACGAAAAGCCAGTGTTGCTTGACATAATGTATTAAGTATCTGTCCTTTGTTAATAGATTTAGAAAAATCCTAATTAAGGCTGGCCGAAGATTCATGACATTTGCTAGTCAAAGTCTGCTGTGAGAAAGGAAGATTTGCAACAAAATTAAAGGGGGCAACTAGGGGAGGGAGGAAGCATCTGTGCAGCCTGCCATATATTTGAAATGCATAAATGGTAACGGAGTGAGAGATGTGATAAAACTTATTTAGTTATATGCTGAATTTCATGCAATAAACCAAGAGAAATGCTTTGTATTTTTTTTTCATAGCTACCTCAGGAGATGTTAATCATTAAATTAAAACAACACACACACACACACACTTCACAACACACCACTAAGACATCGTATATACATACACACACAAACAAACAGATGGGACAGATTATGGGTACAACGAGGAATGTGATTAGATGTTCTGTGGTTAAGAAGAAGAAAAAAGGAACTGTATGTTCCCATTTGCCTGGGTATGAAAAAGGAAGAATGGGAAAAGAGACAGAAATGGAGCAAAAGACCTTGGCTTGGGGATGTAATTAAAGTATTTATGGGGAACAGCCTTCCTAATCAGAAATTTCCAAGGAAGGGGCACACCACAGTTCCAGCTGTAATTCACTCCCAGAGGAGGCTCACTTAAAAGCAGCAAAAACATGGAAGAAGTTATCACTGTCCCACAACATCTGAAAGATAAGGCCAGAGGCTGTGATAGTAAATGGGAGGAAATGAGAATTCTTCTCTAAGCAGAGCAAGGGAGAAGAACTCCCTGTGGGGGGGCCACACCGGAAAAGGTGGCCATAGCCAAAAGCTAAGGATTCTGTTCTCATACACTTGTATTGCTGTGGTTGGAGCAGAGCCCCCCCCCCCCAAATTAGAAAATGCAATTATCTTGTATGAGGTTCCCATTATCATAAAGCAAATGCTAATGAAATCAGAGAGCGGAAAGCTTTGAAAAAAGAAAAAAATCTGTGGAAGGTTTCCCTGTTTACATGGAAAAAGAGATGAACTGTAGCCATTACAGGTTGCAGCTAAGGAAATGTTAAAGTTTCACTGAGATAATGAAGATGCCAGGTAGGTGAAGTCATTGTAACTGGGTAGAAACTAAACACCTTTCAATCAGGGATTGGACTACATGTTCTTAAACCTGATGGAAAGGGTTGCAAACACTAGCTTTATATCAAATGTTTGAATATTCCCCAAAGGGCAGACGGACAGCCACTAATGTTACTTGAAACCCTTCAAAGTCCAGCTAACTACAAAGTTAGAAAAGCTGTCTTCAGTTTCTTTCTAACCAACAAACCTACTCAGGAGGTAATTTATTGTTTTGAAAGCATTAACCTGAGTAAAGACTACAGTGTTACGGTATCCCTAGTGATCTTCTAAACCTAAACAAAGCAAAAATATGGTGACCGGCAGAATTAATTCACATTAATATTATTTCAAAGGATTGCACTATCCAGTTCAAGAACTATATCACTTATCTCTTGTAATAATGGAAGAATCACGGGACTACTCTGCTTGGATTACCCAAACCACATGGTTGACAACACTACCAAGACAACCTAATTAATGCTTGGAAACCTGTCTTTGTGGTGAAAAACATAAGCTATAAGCACATCTCAGAAAGCTCAGACTGCCCAAGGAGCTGCTGACAAAGTTCTACAGAGGAATTATTGAATCTATCTGTCATGGAACATCCAATGTTAGCAGCGTTGACACTATCATTTGTATCTCTATTACTGTCTGGTTTGGAACGGAAACTAAACAGGACAGGTATAGACCTCAATGGATACTTAGGACTGCAGGAAAAAACCAGGTGACCAGCCTGCCTTCCACGGAGGACCTGTATACTGCATGAGCTAGAAAGAGGGCTGAGAAAGTATCTACAGACCCCTCACATCCTGGACATAAACTGTTTTAACTCCTCCCCGTAGGACGCCGCTATAGGGCACTGCATGCCAAAACAACTAGACACACAGACAGTTTTTTCCCTTGTGCCATCACTCTGCTTAACATCTAATTTCCACAGCACTGTCGTAAGTCTAAGGATATTTACCCGTGCAGTAGGGCTGTATTATTATTACCTTCATCCTTCCGATTACCTACTCCTATCTTATGACTCTCACTTCGTTGGTTGTATCTTAAGATCTATGATTGTAACTTATGATTTATCACTTTGTTACTTGTATGCATACCGAGAGCCTATGCATCAGAGACAAATTCTTTGTGTGTCCAATCATTCTTGGCCAATAATAAAGAATATTCTATATTCTAATCTGCAGCATGCAAAAATCCAGGTACATTTAGATGTGGTAAAAGTCACCACATAGTGTAATTAAATGACAAGAGGAAACTAGGTATCATGATCTTTTTTCACCAGATCAACAATACTTTTTGTACTAAAGAAAATATGAGTGTTGGAGCTATACTCTTGCTGCCACAGTTATGCTCATTTCAATTTGCTTTGTGCAATGAAGAATTTAAAAAAAAAACACCAAAACCCATTACATCTCTCTAGTATAGGAATTAGCCTTAAGTGCTCAACAGTCTTCTCTCTTTCTTCAAGTGATCTCAGAAGATATTACTGTAGCGTGGTGTCTGTATTAGAAACAAACGTGTCATTTTTAAAATAAAAATCATGATAATGATGGAGATAAATGGATATATGTGTACATTTAGCTAAAAAGTAAGGCTTTTAGTACTATATCATCTATAACAGGGGTGTCAAACTGCCGGCCCACAGGCCGGATGCGTCACGACGAAATCGTGCCCATCTCATTGCTGGCAATGGGGAAAAAGCTCCGATACGTCACGCGACATCACGTGATGTCGCGAGTTTGACATATCTGATCTATAAGCTAAAGGAAAGAAACACAGCATTCCTCTGCCTATCTGTTTCTTCATTATTTGTACTGCAATATTCACAGTTCTAAAGGAGACAAATTAGACTGCCAATTATTCATTATGAATTATTTTGATTAATGGAATTCTTAAATTCAACATAACCATTTAAAAAATAACATTCACAATAATCAGAAATAACCTATTAATCATGGGATAAAAAATTCTGGCATATTACAGCACATGCCACTAAAATATCCTTGCAAATTAATTTTCAACGTGTAATGAAAAATATTGAAGTTGGTAGTTCTACTGCATTCTCAACTGAAATTTCATTCTTTGATAAAGCTACTATTTTACATAATGAGGACAGATTATTTTAAAAATCTTATAAAATTAATGACTGAATTTTCTTTTTGACTTCATCATTTTCCTATCTTTTTTGAAAGCATGAATATTTGCATGGGTTATAAAAATATTAATACAATCAGCCTGATTTTAAAATAAATAAATCTAAGAATGTATTATCTAAAGTGTTCATGTCAAATTTTCCCTTGCAATAATTTGTAAGCACATTGTTCCACCTTTTATTTACTTTGTAACTACCTTGTATACATTTGATTCATTCTGGTATATTTTCTTATAATATTTTGAGTTTTAATTCTAATAGAAGAAGAATTTAATTAAGCCTAAATATTTTCCAAATTGTTTTCAAATACTGACTAGTATAGTGCTCTCATTCCAGCACCAAGCATATATTCCAGCCAATTTCTGTTGTAAATAACAATTCTTTCCTCATATTTTACCACTACAATGCCTTCCTTTCCATTAGAATATATGGAGATGCCAGTCATGACATCTCATTTTCTTACTAGGAAAATGCGATTGGCATGGGCCATTGCTTATAAAGGTTTTGATACCAAATAACTAACAACACATAAAGACATAAAAAGGAGATAACTAAAGTTATTCTCCAAGAAATCAGCAAAATATCTTTCAGCTAAACAAGGTGAAGGCCTATCAAAAAAAAGCTCTCTGCAACATGGAGAAAACCATCAAAGGAGTAGCCCAGCCATTTGAGGATAAGGAGGTCTACATTCAGGGACATCTGGAGGAGCAGTGAACAACTTCAAAATGTCAGGCACAATCAGCAATCAGGGTTCTGTATCTTTATGGGATTTATACATGTTGAAAGGGGTAGGGCTTTCATTGCCCAGTTATAGTGGCCATATTTGACATTGTTGACAATCTTTCCCTGAGGATGCTCTTATATATATTTCATGCACAGCCACAAAGAAAGCTCTCTGTAACATTCTCATCTGTTGAATCACACCAATTTACAGCACCTGAAAGGCGTTCCTATGGTTGACGGTAAATGTTCATATGTAAATAGACCATCCTTTAGATATGCCAGCTTAGGCACTGGATTATATTGGGAACAAACCATAAATCGGGGAAGGACGCAGAGAAGAAATAGAAATCCTCAATATGCTGTTAATGATTCCATTGGTAAATGTACTGCAGAGCACGGATTACCTCCTATTGTCTATATGATGTATGGACAGGCCCTTCTAAGTCAGCTCAAGACTATGGCAATTCCAACACAAACTATTACCATACTCAAATCAATGGTGCATATGTTTCATTGGTCGACAGGCAAAAAATACTGTCACGGAAACGATGCTATACAAATAACAGTGCTTCCCGAACTGTTAATAAGTGACTGGAGGAAGAACATGGATTAGTAACTGCAAGTGCTTGTGAAAGATGTTAACTCCACATATGCATGGATGAGTTAGTGAGAAAAAGATAATCTGGCACCGACTGGCAATAAATATAACCCCCCCCCCCAAAATGCAAGAGTAAGAAACAATGTTCAGGACAGCTTACAGCATTAGTGAAAATGAAGAAAATTTAAAGGACAGCCAGGTCATTCTCAAGAAAGGAAAATATAGTATATAGTCAGCAGAGGAAAACACACCACCACACAGAGTCCACGCAGATTGAAAGAAAAGTATCTTTCAAAGGTAAAGAGCTATATAATATCATGATAGGAATACTCTTCAGAAAAACACAGTTGGATTGTTGCCCCATTTCCAGTTATATACTAGGTATACAGGTAGTCCTCAACTAAGGACCACAATTGAGCCCAAAATTTATGTTGCTAAGTGAGAAATTTGTTAAGTGAGCTTTGGCGTTTTAAGACGTTTCCTGCCACATTTATCAAGTGAATCACTGCAGTTGTTAAGTTAGTAACACAATAGTTAAGTGAATCTGGCTTGCCCATTGACTTTGCTTGTCAGAAGGTCGGCCAAGGGGATCACATGACCCGACGACACTACAAAGGTTATAAATGTAAGTCAGTTGTCAAGCATCCGAATGTAAATCAGGTAACCATGGGGATGCTGCAATGAATAACGGTCGTAAGTCACTTTTTTCAGTGCTTTGTAACTTCGAACGGTCACTAAGCAAACTATTGTTAAGTCAAGGACTATCTGTATACTAAACTATCTACTTGGAAACAATATAACTGTATGCGCTGTTCAGTGCACAGTGTAAAAATTCTCCATTTCAATATAAGCATTTGACTGGTAATCACAATACACTGATCATAATTTCTAGTCAATATGAACAAAGGTGTCCATACATTTTAAGTTTTTCTTAAAAATATAACAAACAGAGGCAAGATTATTATTTACTCTCTAGCTACCTAAACAGTGAGTGCTTTACTGATGAGTATCTCCATGCAACTTTCTTTTCCCCCGACTATCACATTAAAAACCAAATACCCAATTAATTGTAAAACATACTTGTTTTGGGGCATCTGCGGAGGTGGTGTGAACTTCAGTACCTCGGAGTCCATTAGACTCAAATACCACTGTGGGAACAAGGGGGCTTGTTAACAGATGAACATTCAAGCTTCGTTAGTGTGTGTACATTATTTGACTCCATTACAGATTAATCACATGGAGGGGAGGATGGGAAGAAGCAAAGATACCAACTCTTTGCCTATAGCTGGAAAATACCAATTTACCGTAACACTTACTGTAAGAGAGTCTGCTAATGGGAACCTAAGGGCACTGCCTTTTTTAATTCAGACTTCAGTGCTGAAGAAAGCAATCACTGACAACATTAATTATCAGTGTGTACGTAAAGGGACCCTCTTCTTGAATTACTTACCATTTGGCCTCTGTCATTTTGCAGCAAAATGTCTTATGCATGCATCACTCACCCTTCTTCAAAGAGAGAGGAAAAATGAGATCCAGTCTCATTTCCTCATATGTGGTTATGAAGATGTGCAGACAGGCTATTAGCTTTAACTTGCAAGGTTCCCCAGTTCTAAATATGAAATTTATCCTGGACCATCCTAAGGGGTGGGATGAGGGGTAAGGTTTTTGAAGAAACAATTACAAATCCCAGACTTATTGGAGTCCACAGCAAGGAGAAAGAAACCTTTCTGTTCAGTTCAAAAAGGGGGGGGGTTGATTTCAATTTATGCCAGCGGCAACAGATTTCATTAGCATATTCATTCCAGAGTATTCTGCTTTCTAATTAAAAGGTTTTTTTAAAAAATAAAACAAGAAAAAAAACAGAAAACTCTGCAAATCATTTTAATCAGCAATGCAACGTTTTGCAAGAGAGGCGAGGAGAATTCAGGTACTTGAAATGGAACATGAAATGCTAATCAAATCTGAAATGGTGTAAAATGGAGAAGCTTTAAAGAAACAAAAAAAAAATAGATTGGTGACCAGGAAATTAATACGTAATTGTTACTAAGGGCGTCCCTTCATCCCACCAGAAGACACGTAAGGAAATATACCTGTGTGAGACCTCATGTGGGTCCTGAGGTGGCTTGGCTGTGTGAAGCCCTTCCCACACTCTATGCAGAGATAGTCTCCTTGGCGCGTTTGTGTCCTAAGCATCCCTGTGGGGGAGAGAAAAGGGGAGGGGGGCATGGGAGGGAAAAGAGAGGAGAAAGGGAAGTTGAGAAGAAAACAATATGCCAGAGGAAAACATCATTAGTATGTCTAATGTGTCATTATGTGAGATTACCTTCAGGCCCTGGATAACAACTGTCAGCCTTCATCTAGGCACTGGCTGACAGGCCAGGCACACACACAGGACTCCAAGAATGCATAAATTACATTGAATTAAAAAATGTTCCCCGTGATGTGCCCGCACCAGGAGTGGCATGTCAGGTGTGCGCTTTTCATAGCAGCTGGATCCACTTTTCAGCGTCACCCCGCTTTGTCAAGCAGTACATTTGGCAAATCAAAGTGACTCCAGTGTGGTGGAGACAAGTCATATGGATAATAGGAAGTGAGTAGAACCAGAGCTTGACTGCCCCTCAGCCTACAGACCCCCACCCCCATCCCTGGGGCAGGCTTGGAAAGAAGTGCAAAATGAGTGAAGCCATCATAAATGGATCAGACCTTTAGCCCTACCTTTCCTGCCTACTGATACAATTCTGACCCCAGATCTGCGAGGCCCAAAGAGAAGACATCTGTGAATCAAAGTGTCATTATGGACATTTTGAGACCACAACAAGGTAGCAGTCCTTTGCCAGCCTTTCATAAATGGATTTTCTAGGCCTTTAGCATCTATGGAAAATGACTCAAATCTCTTCTTTTCCCCCAAAGGTCAGTTTACAATATCTGACTTAAAGGGCTGGTCTGTGTCTTTTTACTGTGATCAAAAAGGACACATTTGACTTTTATTGGGTTATTTATTTTTTTTCAAGACGTTTCATATAATCTTTGCTAAACGGATGGAAAGGTCTTATTGGTATTAATATTCCCTGCCTTAAAACACACGCACAACACACACACACAGAGAGAGAGAGAGAGACAGAGACAGAGAGAGATGGTCACAATAAGATTTCAAGGTTCTGAAACTGCTCTAGAATACTTGGTGCAGGAAAAGAGAAAATTAAGGAGAGAAATAAAATGTATGCTTTGTAAAGCTTTAAAGTTAACATACAAATCAATTCCAACTACATTAATATCTAGCTTTGTATAAACTGAAAATACTTCCCCTGGGACAACTGTCCTTTAGAAAAACAATCCAGAAACATTTATAGTAAGCACGCCAGCATACACATGCAAACAGCAAGGCCACATTATTTATTTACATTTGTTTGTTTTTTTATTGGATTTATATGGCCACCCACTCCCTCTCAGTGACTCTGGGCAGCTTAAAAACAATATATATATAATATATATGGGAATGCTGCCTTAGTGTTAAATGCTGAAGATGATGAAGTATTTAATTTTATCTATCCTACTGTTCTAATTGACTAGAAACATTTGTAACCATGATTTGAACTTGGTTTGTAAATCTTGCTATGTGTTCATTGTGGTTTGCTATTGTATCTGAAATTGCTATTCTGAATTAATGTATGTTTCAGAGATCTACTCCAGCTTCCCAATCTCAATCTTAACTTCCAAATGTGGGGCATGAGCAATGAGAAAATAAAATCAGTCTTGTGTTAGAGTGCTAATCCTTGCCCTTGCTTCTTTCCTTCCTTTCTCCTGATCGTTTTCCTGGTGATAAGCCCTCTTCTTTCAGCCTGTTCACCTTCCTCCAGAACAAATGGATGGATGGATGGATGGGAGGCAATTCTAGATAACCTTTACCGAAGTCCACTTGTAGAGAAGCAGTGAAATGATTTCATGCAAAGAATTTTGTGAGGTGCATGTAATTCTGCTTTGTTTTTTACTGGTAATGACATCCCATGATTAAGATAAAGTAGCAACGAGTTGCAGTTTTTTTACAGAAAAGAACAAAACAAAGAATACTTTTAACCCTTTCCTTTTTGACTAAAGTGGAATGCATTGCATGTTGCATCAGTATTTCAAACTATATCAATAGGTTTTCAGAGATGACTTTCTATTGCAGCAGACATCAAATACAGCGTGTGCAATTACAAGAAACACTTTAGAGAAATGTTTGGAAGTGTCCCTGTTTTATTTCATCCAATCAAACTAGGCACATTTTTCAGCTACTACTGAAAAAAACCCTCTGATATATACATTTTAGGTGTCTCTGGTTTTCTTCACTGTTGACTAAATGTACATAATCATTACTAATTGCAATAAATTCACATTTGCCATTTCAATCTATGGCCTTTTGGTTGTTATGACTAAATCACTTAGTAATGATGGTCCTTAGCCTAGATAGATAATTCTCAATACACTGGGAATTATTCCAGTTGCACTGTACTTGGTTCCTAAGCCACACTAACATTTTTTTTTGCACTGCTTATCTCCATAAAAAAAATCCATGTAAACTGTCATTAAGATGTAGAACAGGCCATCATACAAACTGAGGGATTTTGTTCGTATCAATGCAAAACCTTATGTGTAGTGGGCAACTAATAAGCCAAATCTGCCAAAAATAGTTTTTTGCACAAGAACCAATTATACCAATTTCTGTCATGTTGTGGGCAACAGTTTTGTCATATACTTCTTACTTCTTAAATTAACTGATGCAATGCAATTGTACATGATGGATATTTTAATGACTATTTTTCGACGAAAAAGACAGTAGCAAGGGGAAAGCTTGAGAACAATCTCTTCTAAAGGAAAGCGATAACATTAACAGATATGTGCAGAGGAAATAATCCAAAGAAATATTTATTCATTAATTCTTTATGTTAAAGTAATTAAACAAATATATGTAGGAAAAAAATGCAAAGGGAAGTTTAAAATCAAGTTGGTAACAGCTATCCACATAGGAATCTCCTTGCCAATATGCTCCAGAAATGTGTTTAGAATGTTGTACTGCTGACTCTAAAAATAAAGGTAGGAAAATGCTTAAAAATATGATTTTCAGCTCTGCTCTGGAAATCTCTCAAGTTCTTTGGAAATTTTCAGTGTTTATCAGCAAGAAGTTCAATAATGGCTAAATGAAATACAGCTTGATCATTATGAATAGCCAATCAGTAGATGTAGGCCAGCAAAACTAGTTGTCTTCTATGACCTGAAAATTTGGGTATATATTCAAGACTGGAACCACATCTGGAACCAGAGTGGATAAGTTGATGTCGAAAGGGCCATCGTAAGGCAATTGCTCAGAAACCATGGCTGGAGATTTTATAATTAAACGATACTGTGTATGATTAGCGTTAAACCATGAGATCAGTGTTAGGTATGATTGATTCACATGAGATAATTGGGGAGGGCAGACAATAACCACTGAATATATCCCATATTTGGCATTCTATTAGTTACATTTCTTGACAAAATGGCTTTTATCACACGATCAAAGAGGACTCCTGGCTAAACCCCCACATGTATAAAGTTTGTACTGATTTGCAAAAGAAATATCTCCCATTATATCAGTGGCAGCAAACTTTCATTTAATTCAATGATGGAAAAAATGCTATTGCTGATGTGTGTGTGAGAGAAAGAAATGTTCAGTCATTCAGCCTACTGACTGCTGGTTTATGCATTTTGTTAAAAAAAAAACTTCACTGATGATGCATTTGAACAGTGCATGATAAATGATAAATTCTGATAATAGGCAAGATCAATGTTAGAAGAGAAACAACATTAATGTTTTAAAGATGTCTTTACGCAGAACTTGTTATATAGATCACAATACCTCCATCAGTGACGGGTGCAGGTGTGTATAAATATTATTCACTTTTATTTACATAAATTTCAGATTCTCATCAGAGTAATTCCTGTGAAACTAGAAAGGATAATTGCCATGCTGCCTGTGTCACATTTAATACTATGATAGCTGTAAATAACACTCATAGTAAAATAGAAAAATAACCCCTGAAGAATCTGAAAGGCTGGGCTTGGTCTTGTGGGGGTGCTGTTTTCTTAACAACATTCTTAAGAAAGCAAAAAGCTTGTGAATGCCCAACACAATACAAATGCTAATAACTTGCACTGATAGTCTGGTGGTACTTGTAACTATTTCTCCAAGGGATTGGAAAATTGCTGTGTTACTAGAAGGAAACAAAATTGTGCACTTATCTCCTGAGAACAGAGGGACAATTTAAAATGTAAAAGCCAAAGTTCCAAACCTGCCCCAATTCTACTGCATGCTAAAGCATTCATAAGGGAATGCTCTACAGGGAGCAATAAAGTTCTGTTGCAAAGGAGAAGTACACTGAATATTTTAAATTAAAGATGAATAAGACTCCTAAGTGTATGTTCATATGTGTATAGAAAGAAAAAAAAGTGGGAGGAGGAGGAGGGGGAGGAGGAAACAAATGCTATTGAATAAGACAATCTGCAAATAAAAAGATAAACTAACTCTTAAGGTCTACAAAGTCTGGCCAATTTGAGTGAAGGTTAAATGAAGACATAATTAGTGATCTTTTCCAGGCATTCAATGAGATTTTCGATAAAGCAAAATAGTGGCCACTGTTATACAAGCAGATCTGCACTGGCCATGGATTCAATGCAGATCAGAAAAGGAAATGAAAAGTGAAGTAACACAAAGACAAATTTTTGAATTCCTAGGTTTATTACTAGGATTGACAAAGCCAATGTGTTCGCAGAAAGCACTCACTGCCCAATGAGTGTGCATTGAGAATTTGACAACACCGTACAACTGTGCTGTAGAAAATATTCAATTGTTTTGTGATTAGGTTCTACTTTTAAAACAGAAGATGAAGTTACTATGCTACTTTAGTTTAACAATTATGCTCTTACCCTAGTCTATACATGTATGAATCAACGTATTTTCCTTACTTTGCATTCTTGTAAATTCTTGCTTTTTTACTGTTTACAGAATCCACAATTTTCCTTCGAGATCAATGGCACATGTGTATTTCTGCATGGTACTTGGGACAACATGACTAATTTAGCAACAAAACCTGAGTCTTTGGCTTAAATTGTTTACCTAGTTCCTTAGCAAACGTATTTCATGCTAAGAAATTATAGGTAGTCCTCGACTTACAATCACAATTGAGTCCAAAAGTTCTGTTGCTAAGTGAGACAGTTGTTAAATGAATTTTGTCCCATTTTACGACCTTTTTGCCACAGTTGTTAAGTGAATCACTGCAGTTGTTAAATTAGTTAAGTAAATCTGGCTTCCCCATTGACTTTGCTTGTTAGAAGGTCGAAAAAGTTGATCACGTGACCATGGGGCACTGCAAATGTCATAAATGTCTGAATTTTGATCACATGACCATGGGGACGCTACAATGGTTGTAAGTATGCAAAACTATCAGAAGTCACTTTTTTCAGTGCCACTGTAACTTTGAATGGTCACTAAATGAACTGTTGTAAGTCAAGGACTACCTATATAGTGTGTCCCGTTAATGAGAGCTGTCCTAACTTGTATAATGGCATTACTATCAGCATCTGAGAGTTTCTTATGGCTGCAGCCTAAACAGCCCCAAAAGTCAGCACATGGCATTATGGCTAAAATAATTTGGGAAGACTTGAAGTCCAAGCATTCTATTGCCTTAATTTGGGAACTGGCTAACATGTGATTGCTTCCTACTGACCAAAATTAATATCAGAAAAAAATCATCTTCTGAAAAATGTTCCTAATCCTGGCATTAGTTATTCCAGAAATGGAACGTTGACATGGGAAGAACCAAAGAACAGATTCATCACAATGCAAGTGGATTTTACTTCACATAAAAAAGGCACTGCCAAATAGTAGTCAACGATAAGTAAATCTGTCACAGTGGTTTCTCATTGTTATTATTTGTCAATCTAATTTTCTCTTTTTTTCTTTCATCTTATTCCTGTCTTGAATCATTGTTTTTTTGTATTTTCCTTGGTCATTTTCCAAATAAGCATGTGTTTTTTGTTTCCAAGTTTGCTTAATGTTCAGATTCTGCACACATTTTTGTCTATTAGGATGCATTTTCATGCATTATTTTCCTAAATCTTTGTATACAGCTTTTGTACATGTCATGTTTTTGTATGGGGAAGAGCCCAAAAACTGAATTTTGAAAAAGAACTAAGTTTTAGTTCATAAGTTTTAGTTCAAAAATGCAAAATTAAAAAAACTAATTTTTTACCTATGTAGTAGGAGCTCCATTATTAGAAGGGGCCCTTATAAAGTTTTCAATAAGTAAGATAAATGGATATACATTTTCACTGCAACTTCTTAGGCAGGTTCCGCTAGATAGAACAGACCAAGAAATCCATTCTGCAGAAAGATTAGCTACTTGTATTGGGATTGGCTATAAGAACAAAATCCTGCAAGTCTGATTGCGTTGTTTCTCCTCTAGTTTATCATTCAATGGATTAGGGACGTGTTTGCCCAAGCTGTTTTGAACATTAGCTTGTTTCTCAGGTCTTAAAAATGTTTCAACCTTTTTGCCTAGGTAATAATTCAAGTTCAACTTCCTTACTCTCAGCAACCTATTAGATACTGTCCTACAGCTCTTTACAGATAATTGCTAAGAGTTTTACAGTATCCTTTACAAATCAAATGTTTATGCCATATTTTAAGGATATTTTCTTACCAACAGCTGCCCTGGATAAAACTCATCAAATACTTATCTCTTTGTTCTACATCTTGGCAAACCTACTGTAATTTCCTTTTGCTCAGTGGACGTCGTACACACTTACTATATAAATCTTCAAGGTATGTACACATTTGCAAGGAATTTCCCCAAAAATGGGTCTTATTCTTTCTAACTGGTTAATATTTAAATCTGTATTAATTTAGCTCATGAGGAAATGAGCTATATTTATCTAGGAGACTAAGCAACAAAAATATTTACACTGGGCAAACAAGAAAAAAAAGTAAATTTTAATAAATCACTTAGGGAAGACAAGTCATTGGTGTTAAATGCTGCATTCTTTTATCTTTTATCTTATGGTTAAATCAATTCATCTTAAATTCTGAGAATGCTATATGTAGCCTTGTATTTGGTCAAGATTTCCAGCTAACCCTAGATTCAAAATCTTCTCCAGAATTTCGATCTTCTTTGCTTTCTCCTGCTGCTGTCATGGTAGCCCACTAGATATTGCTAATCCTAGGTTTTGGCTATGAAATTCTGGTAACCTAACAGTGGAAATAGAGCTCTGCATATGCTCAGGGACACTCTTTCATTATTGCTATCATATCACACACATGAAGGCTCAGCATATTTAATAAATAGACCTTAATAAATTCCCATTTTAAATATTAAAGTGATAGTTGATATTATGCCTGAAAATATTGCTATATATAACTTGTTTTTGCTTGCTATAAAAATCTACTTTGCAGTTCACAGCCATTTGAAATAAAGAATAATAATGGTGCAGGGTTGTAGGACTGAGATATGCAGAGTCAAATATCCTTCAAATCAATCTGAAATTATCCAATTTCCAAAACTTCTGCTCAAATCTGCCACACAGAAAGGGGCCTTTGCAAATTAGACATTACTGTTCTGATTTTAGCAGCTAAACTGGAGTCTGAAAATCCAACAAACATCAAACCTAGCCAAAATTATTTTGTCCTAATACTGAATTGTTTTTTATTATTTCCTTTCCCTCTATCTTCAATGTTTTATGATCTGTTTTATCTCCAAAGCACAAATCTATCAGTGAATTCTGAAAATTCCTTGCACTCTAAACTTTCAATAAAGTTGCAATTTTCTTGAAATAATCATTTCTCACACAAATTCCTGCCCCCCATTTTAGATTGGATACAAATCTGATATTGTAACTTCTGCTTGGGCATTTCATGTAGAGGGAATTCTCCCAAGCACCTTCAAGCATCCCTCCCCCCTTTTTAAAAAAAAGGGGGGGGCTGAATCTAGCACTTAATTGCAGGTAGAATTTTAGCACTGAGACCATACAGATCTTTTATCAGAAGGAAATGCCATTAAGTTCAATAGCAGTGTTATTCCCAGGTAAGCCACCTAAATGATCCGATGCAGGACAGGACAGTTAAATAGGAGATATAACCTTATCAAACACAGACAGTAACCACACAAGTGTTTTGTGGAATTCCTTATGTTAGGAGAAAAAAAATATTAAGAATTTAAAAATATGCTGGAAAGACAGTTCTTAGGATTCTTACCAGCACGGTCCATTACAGGGCTATTGGCACCCCAGGTTTGGTAGAAAGTAGCCAGATCCTTTGGAATGGAGGTCTTTAAGATGTTTACAATATCCAAACATTTCTCATGCCCCTCAGGGGATGGCTCCTGTTTGGTGGAATGTACAGGTGGAGGAGGTCCTGCTGCAACAGGCTGAGGTTGCATCAAAGGACTTGCTCTGGATCCTCCAGTACAATTGATCAATGCTCTCATTTCACTTTCCCTCTTGGCTGTACGTTCTTGCTGAGGCATTGATGGAGGTTCTTGAGTAGCGCATGGCTCAGTTTTACACAGAGGGTGGTAGTGAGATGGAGATAAAAATTTGGCCTTCCCTGTATCTGGAGTACAATGCTTGATTAAAGGCGCAGATCCAGCATTTACTTGAGGGACTATGTACTTTTCTGTTTCTCTGCTACTGGAGGGCTGTGGACTAGGTTTAGATATCACTGTATGGGAAGGCGTTGAATTTCTGCTAAAGCTTCCCGTTTGCATCAATTTGGCGTTCACATCAAATTTTGATTTTAATTGGGGCTGCTGGGCTACTGTACTGTATTGTTCGTGAGTGTGATTAAGTTTGGGTGGTCTATATCCATCAATAGCTGATGGTTGCAGACCACAGCCCCCAGTGGATGGTACATCTTTTGCCATAGCCCCAGGCTTAGGAGATACAGCAATATCAGAATAATTATTTTTGGATCCTGACAACCCACTCGGCACCTGAGTACGTGTAAATCTGGCTATAGGCAAAGGTTGGCATTCTTTCCCACCAAGTACCGGAGGTGGTCCAGTGCGCCCACTTCTTGCCATAAAAACAGAATTATGTTTTATACTCTTGAATTCATTTTGAAGAACCCAAGCAGGAGCCATAGAATTACAACTAACTTTGTGCCAAATTCTTTTGTGCATCCACAGGACTTCTGGATAGTAAGTTTTATGACTGCAGTAAGGACATCGGTGGACAATCAGAGCAGCCTGCAAGGTTGAGGTAAAACTTGTATGGCATGAATCAGCCCTAGTTGATTTCTCACTTAGATCTAATGGAGTCTTTTCAGACATCTCTGTATCTTTATTGAGCACAGAATGTTCATTCATCTCTACAAGGCTCTCTTTAGTGAGCTTCTGCTGAATTTCCAATGGGCTTTGCAAATTCAGTCTCACAGCGGCAGTCTTACTGGAACAAGGAAAATCACAACTTTGCTGAAATGCTGACATCTTTGAATCAGGGTAAATTTTGCAATCCACATATTTTGGAAAAGGTTCTTTGATCTTGTCCTGTGGTGTAGATGCCACCTTTAGCACTTCTGGTTTAGATTCCACAGCATTTTTTTCTCTATTGTTTCTTGCCTGATTGAGCTGTATGGCTGTCCCAGATGCATCTTCTCCAGAAAAATTGCAGAGATATGGTTTTTTACCTGTAGAGTACACATACAAATATTAATATGAAGATATGTTTAAAAAGACATCTGTCAAGGAAAATTAAAAACAAGGACAAAATAATGATCTGGATGAGGAAAAAAGCATGGAGCCTAGCATTCAAGACACAGGTATTATAACTCCCATGTACCTGAAAATCTTATACTATAAACAGTATTATTTTATTCTCATGAAACTGTATACTTTAAAAGAAAGGAATTAATTTGCACAGGATACTGTGTTCATGATACTGAAAACAGGAATAGAAAACAGTTTATGATAATGTTATAAGATTGCAATCAGGAAGTCTATATTTTATGCCTACTGGTTTATCAAAAAAAACCTTTCCCCTAAAGTTTAAAGAGATAAACTAATTAACAATCAGGAAAAGCAACTTTCAGATATTAAAGACCAGCTACTGCAATTATGTTTATGACAATTTGGGATGGAAAGGGATCACATGTCTGCTTAAAGTAATTATAGGTATTTTCAGTCATGTCTATACAATTTTCATTCATATTCTACTCCTATTCCAGAAATTCCAGCAAAATGTACTGATAAAGTTAAAGTTCAAACCTACATGACCACATATAAGGAGACAATTCAATCAAGGCGGTAAAGATGGGAAACCAGCCAAAGACATATACACAAACCAATCCTAAACCTGCAAAAGAACTTCTGATTCTTGCTCCATTGTTCTTGTTTCAAACCAGGCACACTCATCAGATGCCATTACAGAAATCATGCTATTTTTCTCAACTGGCTGCTACATGACAACTCTACTTCGCTACAAAACTGAGGCATGCTATGATGTGACATTTTGGGACAGTTTTGCAAATAAAATATACAGAATTTCAAAGATTGAAATAAAAATTGTGCAAAACACATAAAAGAATAGCAAAAAACCTATGTTCAACATATTCTTAATACACAGGATTAAGACCACTCTGCATTTCCCTTTACAAGCTCTTCATTTCAAAATTAATCAGTATGGTGAAGTAATTAAGATTTTAGATTAGGACCGAGAAGAGCTGGGTTCGGGCCCACCCTCAGCCTTCCAAATTGCCTAGATGAGTTAACTAATAATAATTAATAATAAACATCCTTAAATTACAATTTTCTAACTTGTATTCTGAAACAAATTCAAATTATTTACTTTTAACAGGATCAGAATTAATCATTCATTTCAATATTCATATACAGGTAGTCCTCAAGTTCATTGAGTGACTGTTCAAAGTTATAACAGCACTGAAAACAGTGACCATTTTTCACATTTACAACCGTTGCAGCATCCCCATGGTCACATGATCAAACTTCAGATGCTTGGCAACTGACTCATATTTATGACGGTTACAGCGTCCCAGAGTCATGTGATCACCTTTTACAACCTTCTTACAAGCAAAGTCAATGGGGAAGCCAGATTCACTTAACAACCCTATTATTAACTTAATAACTGTGGTGAGTCAGTTAAAAACTGTGGCAAGAAAAGTCATAAAATGAAACATAAGTCACTTAACAAATTTCTCACTTAGCAACAGAAATTTTGGGCTCAATTGTGGTCATCAGTTGAGCACTATCTGTATTATATTTATACATTTTCTAGTAATCATTTATCAAATCCGTTTTAATATTTCTTCTGGCTTTGACTCTTGTGAACACTAAAGCATATTCTAAACACTGGTTATCTACATCTGTATCTCTATCTAAATATAAACTTATATCTCATCTCTATCTATGCATGCAGAGACAGAGAGTTACATTTTAAAGTATTTCTTATAAGAAGGAATATAGAATTAAGAATGCTTTAGATCACTGTATCAAACATCTGACATTATAAAACATCTGTCTTCATTTTAGTCTCTCCCAGAACATACACTGTGTTTGCTCATGCTAACTCTTTACAGTGGGGTTAATATGCATGGTTTACTTTAAAAGTTTCACTGCTCATTTGCTGATAAAGTCCAGGATTACTAGTAAGTAGTTGTCTTCCATCTATACAGAAGTGCTGAGAACTCCTGAAGACTGGTAGAAACAGAGCATAAGTAGTCTTTTTTGCATCTGCATTTTCTCTCAGCATAAGCAAGTGTTTTCAAAAATCACACATCACTGTTGCTTAGTACAACTTTGGTACCATAGGCACAGTTCCAACCCTGCCAAATGTGATCTGTTTAAGCCTGAATGTTCAACAAAAACAATGTCTCAGCTTCATTTAATTTGACCTCAGCTCCTGTTCAGGGAAAAGGCATTAAGCCTTTTGTTTAATTCTGAGTAATTAGCTTAAAAATAACCCATAGATTTGCTGTCTAACAGGGTTGAATACTTATTCTGTTAACATCATTTTCTTTTCAAATTCTCAAAGGGACAAGGTTCTTTGTGTTTAAAGGGTTTTTTTTAAACCTTCCTGTTTTACAAGTTAAGACTTCCTGAAAGCACATGCCCAAGATTACTAGCTGTATCTGCATTTTAAAAGAAAAAAAAGTTATGTAGAACTGTGAAATTAGAGTCTGCACATCTGTGTTATTTTCAAAGCAGAGCTGTCACAACTCAATATAACACCAGTCAGAAAAACAAGGTGGCTTTTCTATGACATTTCATGTGATGGAGCTTGTTTACATAGAGGCTAAGCAGGGATAAAATTAATCTTATCAGAAGAGGCAAATTAGGCTTAGAAATCATGACCTGTCCAAAAATCTTCTGGTATGCTTCCCGAGTGAAGAAACATTTCAATGGAGGGGTTTACATTCCCAGAATTATTCCAGATAGTTTCTAGCTACCAATAAAAATACACTTTCTCCTGGTTTCTAACCTGGTGTCTTTAACAGTAGACCAAATATGGACTGATGAGACTGCTAGGACTTTTCCTAAAATTTCATGCATCAAATAGGTAGCTTAGTGAATGAGCAGCAAATGGGAGTCTATGTTTATCTGATATAAGCTAGCAGTTCTGCACCGATATCTTGAAGTATCCTTGAATATTATCTAGTATCAGGGAGTTGTGTGTGTGTGTGTGTGTGTGTGTGTGTGTGTGCATGCACACAGCAAGTAATGACAAACAAAAATCTACCTACCATACTAAGGATATCAAAGGTGCACTGTACGCCATCCTCCTAGGAAATGCATGTCTGAACCAAAACAAATGTATTTTGGAAGTTTGGGGCCATATATCTCCTTACTGTTAAGTGTTAATATTTGGACATGAAGTTGAAAAAAAAATATCAGTAACAGTTATAATTTAATTGTCAATCTTAATAGAGATATTTCCCCAAAAAATCTGTATTAGAAAAGCCAATGGTGCCTTCTGAGCTACCTACTGGCAGGAAGACATGGAAATAGTTCTTCCCAGTTGCCACAAGGAAAAATAATAATACTTTGAAAAATATGGAAATATAGATTATTGAATTGGAGGCTGCAAATATAGAAAACTAAAAAAAATCTTGTAAAACAAGAGACTTTATTCAATAAAATGCTTAAATGAAAATTTGACTATTTAATTTCAAAACTACACAAAGTTCAGTGTTTCTATATTTTATTTTTTATTTCTCCAGATGACTCACCAGCCCCCAAGCAATAGTTCTCCTGCTTCCAATGTGTAAATATTAAATGAGGAAATTTAATAGATCCAGAATTTCTGCCTAATAGCTGAGTGTCTTCAGTAAGCAAGGTTTTTTTTTTAGTTCTTGCTGTTTGTTTCTTTTTGTTTAAGTGTTTAATTATTTCTAAGTACATTTTATTTAAGGCTTTTTAATTTTTCTATTTTTCTTAAACAAACAAAAAACAAACAAATGTAAAGAGAAATCACACTTTTATATAATTTTAAACAAAATATTTTGAAATGTAAGAGAGATTTGTTATTAGAATAGGACAGGACTGACTTACATTTTTAAGGTTCCTGTTCTCCTTCTCTCAAACTACATCCACTTTCTGTTCTAAACATTAAATCAATTATTACTTTTAGGGTAATTACCGAATAGTTAGTTATCAAGATCTTACAATACTATTATACTAATGCCCCCCCTTCTTACATTAAACAATTAAAATAGAGATATTCACACTTGATCCATCTAGTTATAGAAAAAAGGATCTAAATGTCCCTCATCAAGCTAGTACACTGAGATGAATTTTTCATACATGAAATGCTTATCTAAATAATATTTGATGCATATATTTACTATACTGTCTTTTTGTCTAAGAAGGATGATTAATGTCTAGCGACACCATTAAACCAGACCATATCGGCTCTGGGGGATGGGTATGAGAAGACTGCAAGGCTGGACTATAACATGCTAGAGAAAACTGACAGATACTTATCTAACAGAAAAGCATTATGGAATTTATTCAGTAAATTCTAGTTCAATGTCGCACATGAATGCAGAATGGCAAAGGCTTTCTACCCCACGAAGGGAACTATTCTCTCTACATTGTTTTTCCAATTTAATGGACTTTGATAGTAGTGAAGCTGGAATTAAAATCTTTTGTTATTATTGTACACGTAGTCCTTGACTTACAACAGTTCCCTTAGTGACTGTTCAGAGTTACAATGGCACTGAAAAAAGTGACTTATGACCATTTTTTACATTTATGACTGTTGCAGCATTCCTATGCTCACATGATTCATATTTGGATGCTTGACTAATGTGTCAAAAAGAAGTTGAAATTTATTAAGACTCACTTAATAAATTTCTCACTTAGCAACATAAATTTTGGGCTCAATTGTGTGCATAGGTTGAGGACTAGCTGTAAAAGGGAGATCAAGAGGAAGGATGAATTTCAGGGATGTAAATGGATTAAATGAATAAATAAAACGTATATTAATTGTATAAGAAGGGTATATCAGGTTTCATCATGCTGAAATTGCTGCTTTTTAACACTATAATCCCTGTATGTTTTACTCAGGAAGAAATCCCACTAAACTCACTGGGACCTATTCCCAAATAAATATAGCAACAGCTCTGGGGAGGACTAGCAGACTCTTGTACTGGGAGTAAATGCATTGAATTTGGGTCT